TTTCAAATACATTCACTGATCCTTCCAAAGGAAGGAGGTGGATATTTGAAAGAGACCTTGACTCATAGAGAAAGGATGGATGCAGACAAGGCATTCCATGTTTGAGAAACAAGCTTTCTAATCTAGAGCTCTGCCTAGCTCCTAAACCCTAATCTCCTCAACAGCTGCTAGCAGGGATCTCTTCTTCAACTCTGGAAGTTGGTCTTCAGTCTCTGGATCTCCAATGGCTTCAACATCACAAGTCTTCAGCTCTCCCAATCCCCAAACAATCCCTATACCCACACAGATAAACAGCAATCCCCAGAGGGCACACCACACCAATCAATCAAATATAGACAGTATTATACCAATAGCAGTAGGGGAATCCTAGTGATTTCTAAGGGGATCTATCCTATACCCATAACCCCTATAGTCCATACCCCAAAAATCAAATGAAAATTTCCTAAAAGAAATAAACTATCTCACCTAAGTTGATTTAAAACCCTAATTTTATTCATGTTATTCACACCTAAACTAAACCCCTAAAATCAAGTCCTAAAAATATAAACTAAATTGAATTTACAAGCTAATAATGTCTATTAATCAACCTAAAAAGAATGGACAAAAATTATTAAAGCAACTATTAGAACAAAAATTATCAAAATCATGTATGAAATGAAACACCTAAAATAGGCATTTATTTAGAAAATATGGGAAAAATACCAAATAAAAAATAAAATGCAATTTTTATTTTTTATAATTTTCTAGACATCTTGAAGAAATTAATGCAAAAAGAATCATCAAAAAATATGAAATATATGATTTATTATGATTTTTATAAAATGCATGAAAATGAAAAGAAAATTAAAATGAAATAAAGCAGGGGGGTATGAAAAGTAAGGGCGCCTAGTTGTTTCTCAGATGGGCCACAGGGCAGGGGTGTCATTAGCAAGATACGCAAGGCCCAAGAATCAATCAGAAACAGACAAAAATAAAAAAGTGAGAACGGTGCAAATAGTCATTAATTCAGTTCATTTACGTTGGGCTTGGTTATTGGGGGTGTCATTAGCAGTGAAATTCAAGGCCCATTCAGATACTTAAATGAAACGGGGCGTTTTGATGCCCAGGGTTTCCCTCCGTTTCATCTTTAAACGTGGACCCTTGGATTAGATCCCCAGTCAAGGTCAAATACCCAATCGAACGGCCAGAGGTCATCGTCTACCTCCAGCCAAACCCTAGCTCAGAAAACCATCCTTCATGCACGCGCCTTCAACCCTCTTGTTCTCACTCAATTCTCCATGAAAGCTCATGATGTAAAAATCAAAAGCACTCCATTCTTCTCCCTCTACACAGCCATGGCCATGGTTCCTTCTAAAACTCACCCAAACTCCAAACCCGATAGGTGTAACAGATGAAATCCACCATTAACACCTGCTATCGACTGCTCCAATTCTCCATAATTTCTACACTAAAATGATCCACAAGCCATGCTAATCAACCTGAGCCATTCATCTAGGATTCTCTTGCCATAAACTGTGAGTTATCAATCCTAACAGATTTGGTGCACTATGAGCAACCTCCATAAAACTTCTCCAAACTCTGTGTAAATCATCCCCTAACCACCTAGGTCTCTAATATACTAACAATCTTATGCCATGATCATTATCCTAACTAATTCGAAGGAAAACATACCTGGTGCAAATTCTTGAAAACAGGTGCTAGAACCCTTGAATCTGATGCTTGTGATGAGTGGAAAATGATCCAGGAGCTTGATTATGAATTCTGTATGCAATGAATCTTATCCAATCCTTCTGAATTCAGCAATTCCAAAGTTCTTTCACCTTGGATGTTAAAGTTCTATGGCACGATTCTTGCTCAATTCCACCAAATGAATATGTGAATTCTGATCCTTGGATGATGATGATGATGATCAAATCAAGAGAGATGGAAATTGATGAGAATTTGAGAGAGTTTGTGATGCTTATGCAAATTGGAGAAAGTGTGTTTATCTTGTGGTTTTGAACAAATGAAATCACCAACCATGGCATGAACCATCCCATATCAATATATACATGATGTTAGAAACTCCTAGAAGCTTGGAGAAGCTTCCCTTGCTCAATTTCCCTTGGATTTGGTTTATGTATCTTCCATTACAAGTAACCATGGATAATTCCCAAAATGTGAACTAAGATCAAAATTCTACTTTATCCAATGTCTTTAAAATGATCTTTCCATTCAAAATGACCTATAATTTTGCTTCATTTGGCCAAAGTATGAAAAATCTCATTTTTAAGTCCATTTTTATTCATTAAATCCAACAATTTTGAAACCATGTGCCATGAATCTTTCCAATCTCTCATGGTCACTTTTCTAGACTCAAAATGTCATTTGGAACAAGTTTGATGTTGTAAAGTTTTCCATTTGAAGCTTCCTTGTATGAGTTTTGGGGCATAGGTTGAAATGACCTGTAATTCTCAAATGACCAAAATACCCTTTGCTTGCCAAGACCATAAGTAGAGTTCCACAAATTATATGAAGGCATACTATACCATTCTAGAAATATAAGACAATGAGGAACAACTCTTATGTTTACCAGAAATTCATTTGAAATCTCTTTGAGGGGTAAAAATTGCTTGGAAGTCAAGTCACTTTCACAGATAAAATTTCAGACACCTCAGATGACCTGTAACTTGCAAGGACCATAACTTGAGTTCTATAAATCTCCTTGGTGTCTTCCACCACTCAAATTAAAGGTATTGAGATCCTATACAAGTTTTATGTTGGCCAAGGATCCATTTGAAGCTTGCATTTGGACTTATCTTGCTTGGAAATTTGACCTAAACTAGGGGATTTTACATAGAAACCCTAATTTAGAAACTCCTCTTCTCCTTAATTTCTCTTGAATTCTTCTTGGCATATCACCATATCCTTATTCTCCATGTCAAATGATGAACCCCACATCTCCTCAATAGCCCTCAATGCCTTTCAATCAATCCATTGACCTAGGGTTGACCCAGATGAAACCCTAGTTGACTGTCTTCCTCCACAACTCTTGTGACTACACCAATGACTTGTCTCCTTCCCCAAATGACTCTCTAAGTCTCCCATGATGTCCACATACTCTCCATGCTCATCCCACAGCTCACAATTTCTTTGTTGATTCTCAGATACCCTCAGCTAGGAGATATACTCAATGCTTGATCCACTGACTTCTCCAACTTTCAAATTCTTTTCTGATGACTTGAATGAGATTGAATCAGGATAATAACCTCTTGATAGGATTCTAGAGAGGAGAATAATGCTTGGTCCCCTGTTGAATGACTTGTTATGCTTATGCTATGCAGATGAGTAACCTATGTACATGACTCTATATGCAAATGCTAATGACATTGAAACATAAACCAAGTGAATAAGGTTGGGCCAATTTTAGGGTGCAACACAACGATTCATCTAAAAATGGGGTCTCTATAGGTGGGAATGTCATTGATTTGTTTATTGTTCCAGCACTATAATCTCTTCTCTTCAATTAATTGTGCAGTTCTTTATCATGTATTAAAATTCAAACACATGATCCCTGCATCTAATATCATAGGGGATGCATATCTATATATATTAGACAGAGATCAGAATAACTAATATCATTCACTTTTACATACATGATCAGTGACAGTGAGTAAATTTTAGCATGCTAGTAGGAAGATAGGTCAATCACTTTGAATAAAATGAATAGTGATTTCCACCACATCATTCTATTAATTTGGTAATTTGAGTTAATGGATATTTTTTAAAGAGTCATAGGTTTGCAAAGAAATGCTTTGCTCTGAATCTGATACCATGAATGCAGGCTCCCAATTATCCTGATGCTGGGCGTAGTTGGAACATTGTTGACAAATATAAAGTATCAATATTCTACATTGCCCCTACATTGGTGTGGTCCCTCATGCAATATGGTGATGAGGTAAGATACATCTATGATTACTCTATACCTTCCTGAAAAATTATTTGTAATGGTGAAAAAATGCTTTTACACATGGAAAAGAATTGAAAGTAAAATATTGCAGAAGAATGCATACAATGTCAAACAGGACTGAAAGCATAATTAGCATTATTAATGGTTACTTAATTCTTTCTTGCCCCTTCTGTTCCACCCCACATGTATGATTCAAGCATTAGGGTTCTCCCTTTTCCCATTTGTTTTGCTTTACGCATATTTAACCTTGAAGATATTCCATAGTTTGGGTTAACAATCCCTGTTATTTCTACATCAACACTTTCCTTTGTGAATATTTAAAATATTATTTCTAGTTCACTGCTGTTAATCTTTCCTTTGGGATTGAAATTCCAATCTGTTGCTTGCAGATAACTCCACTACCTGGTGGTGGCATATAATGTGGTGGTGGTAGCTCTAACAGAGTTAAATGAATATAATCCCAACGGGCGATATGTAACCTCAGAATTATGGACCTATGATGAGGACAGAAGAGCAACTCTGCAAGAAGGAATACAATTTCTGATGGACAACTCATCAAACAAACGCGAGAAGGGGAAAAAATACACTGGGAAGGTTTGTATATAAGTTATAATAACCTATACAATTCATTTATGTGGATACTGCATTTCTGTTAAGAAGTTACATGTGATTTCTGTTAAGAAGTTACATGTCATTTATGTGGATACTGCATTTGATATGATTAGAAAGAGTAGTTTTCCAATCATCTTTTATGGATGCTAAAATATGATCTTAGTGCCACCTCCAATATATGTGCCATCCTGCAGGAGACCAAGATGTGCCATCCTGCAGGACACAAAAAGAAAAAGTAATTTTCCATTTGCTTTTTCTTTTGTGGATGCTAAAATACAAGTTGTGTTCTGCAGGAGACCAAGATGCTATCCAATATATGTGTAGGGAGGCACCAAAAGCAGTCATTGAACTTGAAAATTATGGATTGCCATTTTCACGAACCGAAGATGGAAGAATAAACAAGTGCGGCGCATACTCATAATCTTTACCTACATGCCACATGAAGCAAACAATCCATAATGGGTTTTCTTCTGTGTTTACAGTTGCCTTCATTGGAGGTGCTCTTTTTGTACTTCAGCATTTTGCAGGCATAAATGGAGTTCTTTATTTTTCATCATTGACCTTTCATGACGTCGGAATTCAAAGTAGTGCTTTAGCAAGCTTGTTTGTTGGGCTTACAAACTTTGCAGGTTTGCAGTATTCATTGCATTTATTTATCTCAATATAAGTTTCATCTTGAACTCAGATCCTGATTACCGTGAACTGATTCTTTTCTTTAGGTTCCCTTTGTGCTTTATACTAAATCAATAGGGAAGGGAGGCAAAAACTTATTATAGGAAGCTACTTAGGAATGGTGAGTGTGTACAAGATGCTCGTAGCTTGTTTCTCGGTATATGTAAACAACAGTATCATGCATGCGCAGACACATGCTGAATTTGTTTAGATCTTATTCCTTGGTAACTCTTTTCTCCTTTCTTCATTATATTGTTCATGTCTGCATCTTCATGCTCCATAGAACTTTAAAATAATTCCAATTATCATGCATTACAGTGCTTGTCCAATTTTCACAATACTAAATATATATTTCAGGTGCCAAATCCTCTATTTGACCTTGCTGGCATCATGTGTGGATAATTTGGTGTTCCGTTTTGGAATTTTTCCTTGCAACTTTGATTGGAAAGGAAATTATTAAAACTCAAATACAGGTAATATATGATATATGTTGTTGTTCTATTGCAGTTCTCAAATTCTTTGTTGTTCTATATATTGTTGTTCCATTAATACATCATTTAGGGTGGATGAAAGTTGGTATAAGCTGCTGTTTGAGACCTGTAACATTAGTGTTTGGTATAAGCTGTTGTTTAAGAACTACTGCTTAAGGATGTTAGCACTATAGCATTAGTGTTTGTGTAAAATATTGAGTTTTTATTTTGTTGACTGTAATATATTAATAGGTTATATGTTGCCATCTACTTGTTGCAGCAAATATGATTAAACTATTAGATAACAGAATGCCACAATGCTTGAATGCTTGCTTGAATGCTTCCATCATGTATATTTTTGGAACAGGCTCACAACTTATGGTTTAACAGATTGATTTGTTGTTTGTCAGATAATTGACTTGGAAACATTAATTGGGGCATGTATAATTGCTCTAGGACCCTCAATTGCAGGTAATATTCCACTACTGGTACTCAATTATAGCTAATTTTCCACTATTGGTGCTTTGTCTTTAAATTGTTGATCCCATAGAATGAATTGTTTCATTTATGAGCTAATTACTAATGCTAACTATGTTTTTAAAGGTGCATTTACACCCAGCGATGAGCTGACTAAGGAAGTTTTTTATGCTTCTGAAGTGAGTGGGCAGAAACTATGGAGGATGACAATAGAAGAAAGTTACTGGGAATCAATGAAATCTGGAGTTGCTGATATGATGAACACGGGTGCTCGACAAGGTGGTGTTATCACTACTGCTCTTTTCATAAAGCAAGTATATGGTTAATCATATATTGTCACTTTCTCATTAACATAATGCTCAATTGCAAGCATGTAGTAATCATAATATCTATATGATATACTCCATTTTGATTTTCTATGAAAGCTTATGTTCCCCTGTTATACGTTATATGAATCTTACTGGAGGGCTATGTTGCGATTTTCTAAAATAATTGTGGTTTTGCAGTTTGTTGACGAAAAGGTTCAATGGATGCATATTGATTTAGCTGGTCCTGTTTGGAATGATAAGCACCGTTGCACAACAGGATTTGGTGTATCAACTTTAGTGGAATGGGTATTGAAGAATGCATCTTAAACGCATATTCAAATCTTGTTTAATCGTGCTGTGTGGTTCCACGAGCTCAATTTTATCATTGATTCTATCTGTTAACGCTGCGTTTGTGTTGTTAACGTTTCAAGTTTCATCTTACATTTGAGATGAAGTTGGTCTGGATTGGTAAATATGAAGGCACTGAAAATATATTAATGAACTTGTTTCATTCATACCAACACCATAGCATTGAGAACAGTAAACAAATAAGATAGAAGTTAAAGACAAAATATAAGATAGATTCTTAAGCCCACAATTTTTTGAATTCTCTAAACATATTTCATTTTAACTTGTTTTGTAAGAATTTTTCTGGTAACTATATTCGGCCCATACTCAGTTAACCGAACAAACCGATCCATTTTAACCGATCAACCGATTAAGCCGATCCGATCAAACTGATTAAAATTTCAGTCGGAATTGGGCCTACCAAATCTACCCATGGTTTTGGCCGGTTTGACATATTGAGCCCAAATTCAATCCAAACCGACCGATGTCCAGCCCTTGATAAAGATGTAGTAGAGAAAAAAGCATGGGAAGACAAGAAAAAACATATAGGGGCGGCGCAGAGATCTAGAAAGAATGGAAAGAAGAACAAAACCTTTGTTTTCTCTACAAATAACACTTTTTGCTTTTTTCATTTCTTCCATTTCAAAGCTTCGGAACACCATACTCTACCATAGCTCACAAAAATTTCGTAATTTCGATACTTCTTCTACAGCAATAACGCTGCAGCAAACACCATCTAGTAGCAGAAATTTCTCCTTCTTCTCATAACCACCATCATCAAACTTCAACTCATTGCGCTTCCTTCATGAGCTCTTCTTCAATCACCACTTATCAGCTCACATACCACCGCAACAAGCTGTAACACAACTCTAAAATAACAACTCGACCTCACTTCACAAAATCTTCCATAACTAACACACTATTGCTTTTGCTTATCCATACTGAAAAAAAATCACCTTAACATGTTCACCCTCTTTCCATTTCCGACACCACGTGACAACTGTTTCTCTCGCAGTGAACGACAACCATGTTTAAAACACCATTGCGTTTTGACACTGACCGTGCTTTCACGGTAGAAGCAAATGGAAGCTCACCGGAAAACTAACTTCACTTGCGACTTCAATGGCCTTTGATCTCCTGAGTATTACTCTTCACTTTCATTTCCAGCTTTGCCTTGCTTTTTGTTGTTGTTGCAAATGGTGTGATTGTGATCTTTACGATAACGACGTCTTCATGCTGTTTAGCATGAGCTTTCTTTTCCTCAAGATGACATTGATTTTGTTTATCTTGTGTTTGTTGCTGCAAATGATGTGAATAACACGTTGTATTGGTAACCATTAACATGACATGAGATGTACTGTATTGGTTTTTTTTTTTTTCTTTTACTCTTTCTTCCCATGTGAATATTTGAGTTATGATGTTTGGTTGTTTAAATTCATTTTTGAAAAAAAATAAATTTTGAGTTTTGGTTATTAAAAGAGTTAAACTGTGTGATGGCAAAGAAATTGGCTCTGTTTCCTTTTCATGAATAACAAGTGAGTGAGAGAAACAAAGAAATATGAGAGAATGAGAGAATATATGGTTATTGGTTGAAGTTTTTTAATTCATTTTTGACTTGTTAGTGTACCACGTGTCGTCGTTTATTTGGTTGTTTTTTTTCTTTTTAATTTTAATTTTATAAATGATCACTTTTGTTTGATTTCATGAAGGGAGACGTTACTTTTTGAGAGAATATTTATTTAAGTTTGTTTGTTAGACTTAAATTTTATTTATTTGTTTATTTGTGGCTTTCAATTGAGTTTAAATGAGTCAAACTTTTCTTGTTTTTTTGTTGTCCACGTTTTATGAATGAAAAAGTGATTTCTTCTACTCCTATTTTTGTTGGTTTTGTTTGTTATTTATTATTATTATTATTATTATTATTATTATTATTATTATTATTATTATTATTATTATTATTATTATTATTATTATTATTATTATTATTAAAGCATGCCACATGATACTTAGGTAATGGTTATTCTAAAAATTTGAAGTGTGAGAAATGAAAGGCGGGGTGCTGTCCCCTTAATGCATGCATCTTTTGTTAATTTTTTTTTTATATTTTATTAATTTTTTTGTTTAATTTGATATTTACATTATTTGATTAGTAAATTATATTATAATTAATTATTGATTTCTTTTAAGTAAATTATTTAATTATCGATCTCATGTGTTTATTCATTTTTTTAGTTATCTTTATCTATGTTCATGTTATCATTGTTTATATTATCTTGTTATTTTCATCTTATTCCAAAACACAAAAAATATAATATATTTATCAAAATCCTAAAAGACTTTCAAGTGGTAGACTGTGGTTACTATCTTTGGGCATCACAGAATTGAGACATTGTACAAAAACCCTAGCAAAGGAGCTATGGATCTTGGTTATCTCTATTTTCTTTTACTCTAGCTTAGGACACTTTGCACACGTACGACTTTCTATTAGGCTACCTGACAATGACCCATTTTATTTTCTCGCACTCTCATGTACTTTACATGTACCCAGCTCCGTTTTGGATGTACGCTCTTTATACTCTTCTTTGATTGTAGTTTTGTTTACTAGGAGCACTCTTAGGGGTTAGGATAGACTAAACCATTTTTCAAACTAACTCTTGATTCAACGTCGAGCCTTTTTTTTCACCCTTGTAAGTTGATTGCCTCGTGCGTCGCCATCAACCTCATGGTCACTATACACAACATTCATAGCTTACTCCTGGGCTTTCTTATAGTGAGACCTATTCGATCAATTACTTATAGTTGATCGTTTAGAAGACTAGCCCACTTTGCTAGTGCACACGATTAAAATTCAATTTGATTTCTTTCCTTTAATTTTTTATTTATATATTGTCTTATATGATGATTCGAATCAAAACCCTAAGGTACAAATCATACCCATCTTGTAAGTCGACCACTTTTGCCTCGCCATCGACCTTACCTTATACCATTAGGACCTCCTTACCGTTTAGTTCAAACCATTAACTTTTTCGCATGCAAATTCAAACCTCGATCAATATCTAGCATTTTATCAAAGTCAACTTAATAAACTTAATTATACTTAGGTCGTATTTCAATCAAAGATGAAAATGGAGTTGGAATGGAGCCTTCGAATTCTCTCCTCAATTGTTTGGGCCCGAGGAGCCTTTCTTAAGCTCGAACAATTGTCTTCTCTAAGAGATTTATAATCCGATCATACGTAAAACTATTTCACAATAAATTAAATCAAATCTATTTTCTCAAACACTTAGATGAAAAAGAGAGAGAGAGTCGAGCCTTTGACTCACTCTCCTGATTACTTGGGCCCGAGGAGCCTTTCTTAAGCTTCGAGTAATCGTCATTCGTAACTTACTCTAACTATATCAAAATTCTTTCATAATATAAGATGAAAAAGAGAGAGAGTCAAGTCTTTGACTCACTCTCCCAATTAC